TTTTAAACTCATTTCCAATTTTTCATTTCTTCCACTTTACCTCAAAAAACTGGATTAAAATTCTCCGCTTGCATCTTTTTCTGAGGAATTATTTTCTGATTTTTACCGACCTAAAATTAGTCACCGGCTCTGGGGAAAATGTCCGGAGAATGAGAGGCTAGGGAAATTCCACTGGTCCGGAATTGAACCCGCAACCCGGCGTGGAACTAGTAATTTCTGCACCGCCCGCTCCCAGCTGGAACGCAGTTTACCGCAGGACTAAAACTGCACCTTACAGCTCCCAGCGTGCTCCGAGAACCGTTTTTTTTTTTTTTTTTTTGCTCAGATGTCCTCCCGTTATTCCAAAATCCAAAGTTTAATTAAAACACTTTTGGTCGTCTAGTGATAAAAAACAACCGTGTGAAATGACCGCAGTGTTGATTAGACGAGCTCCCGAAGTGTAAATGCGCTGAGATCTGCGTTCCAGAGAGGTAAGGTGTGTTTTTGCAGCTGTTTTTGACCGTTTAAAGATTAAAATTTGTCTCGTGGAGGTGTTGCGGGTTTGAAGGCAGAGGGAGTTTTGTGAGCCGACAAGTGCGGCGCGTCGGGGGGGGGTTGGAGTTTGGGCCCGGTCCTGGGTGTGCCCCTGTCCGAGTCTGAGATCATCTGGTGTTTAGCTCGGGGAAAACATCTGCTGCTGCCCTGCGAAAACCAAAAAGAGCAAAAAAAAGCAAAAAAAAAATAGAATCATGAGTCCAAATTCAGTCTCGTTTTGAGTTTTTCGATCTTTTTTAGTCCATATCTGGAGTCGTGTTTTGTCTCATTTGCACAAACCCTGAACTTTTATAACCCGAGCTCTTCTCTCAAACCGAAAGCGCTCTGTTCCACGCTGTGATGTCACGTGGTGATACAGGAAGAAGTGCTCCACTGTGTTTTTAAACTCCACACGACTCATTTCACTGCAAATTTCTCCAATTTCGACAAGATTTTAAAACTTATATCAGGTCATTCGTGTTGTTTTCAGGTTTAAGATCGACTTACGAGTTCTGATGTTTCATTCTAGTCTCGAGGTTGTTTATTTTAAGAGAATTTGTCAAGTAAAATTTATTTTGCTGCGTGGACGGACTGCAAAAAACAAAATCTAGTCAAGTTAAGATGAAAAAAAATAGAATCACATGAGTCCAAATTCAGTCTCGTTTTGAGTTTTTCGATCTTTTTTAGTCCATATCTGGAGTCGTGTTTTGTCTCATTTGCACAAACCCTGAACTTTTATAACCCGAGCTCTTCTCTCAAACCGAAAGCGCTCTGTTCCACGCTGTGATGTCACGTGGTGATACAGGAAGAAGCGCTCCACTGTGTTTTTAAACTCCACACGCCTTCACTAGACTCATTTCACTGCAAATTTCTCCAATTTGGACAAGATTTTAAAACTTATATCAGGTTATTTGTGTTGTTTTCAGGTTTAAGATCGACTTACGAGTTCTGATGTTTCATTCTAGTCTTGAGGTTGTTTATTTTAAGAGAATTTGTCAAGTAAAATTATTTCGCTGCGTGGACGGACTGCAAAAAACAAAATCTAGTTAAGTTAAGATGACTTGAATAAAGAAAGTTTTGTCATGATTTGAGTAAATTTCAAAAATGATCTGCAAATGGAGCAAGACTTTTTGTAGTTAAAATATGAAAATACATCTGGCTGCACTTAAAATAAGAAAAACTTTTTATTCTCTTTTTTTTTAGATTTTCTTACTAGTCAAGTTGAATTGACTCGAATAAAGTCAAATATTCTTAATTTAAGTCATTTTAATTTAGCTAGATATTGTTGTTTTTTTTCTAGTGTAGTGCTGACAAAAACATCACATTATTAACGAGGTAACGCAGAGCAATTTTTAACGGTGTAAATAGTTTTAAACGTGTTCATTCTTTTATTTATTCATTCTTTCATTCTCTGCTGTAACGTTAGAAAAACTACAGGATCCGGCTTTAAACTGCCAAAAGTGATTTCTAGATTAGTTAATATTTGATTTTGTGGTAACACTGCACCTTATTTAGCCTTAATAAAGCATGAACAAAGACTTAATTAATAATGATTCATGCTTAGTAACTACTTAATTAGTACCTGAATTAGCACTTAACTTGTACTTAATTCGCTTAATTCTGTGCTGGAAATAGTTACTCAATACTTCGTAATTACTCATGAACTAACCATTTGCATGTTTACAAATGCATATTTAAGTACAAATTTGAGCATTTATTAATGATTAGTAAGCCAAGAGAGAATGATTTACTAATAATGCATTATTGTTTCTCTGGAATTTGACCAACCTTAACAAATGTTTAATAAACCATAATTCATCTTCACTTTGGAAAAAGCTCTCAGAAAGACTTAACTAACAGATAACAGCTGCTGAATGATCATTGTATTGTGTTATTAGTAAATCATTCTCTCATAGTTTATTAATCATTAATAAATGCTCAAATATGTACTTAAATATGCATTTGTAAACATGCAAATGGTTAGTTCATGAGTAATTAAGAAGTATTGAGTAAATATTTCCAGCACAGGCGAATTAAGTACAAGTTAAGTGCTAATTCAGGTAGTAATTAAGTAAGTTACTAAGCATGAATCATTATTAATTAAGTCTTTGTTCATGCTTTATTAAGGATAAATAAGGTGTAGTTATAAAGTGTTACCGACTTTGTTTCGTATTTTAAGTGCAAAGAGTTTTTGTTTTTCTTATTTTCAGTGCAGCAACATGTTTTTTCATGTTTGAGGTACAAAAAGTCTTGTTCCATTTGCAGATCATTTTACTCGTCAAGTGAAATTTACTCAAATCATGATGAAACTTTTTTAATTCAAGTCGTCTTAACTTGGTTAGATTTTAGTTTTTGCGGTGTAAACAGGAAGCAAAACAATTTGTATGAAACTGAGAAGTCCCGCGTGTGCGCCGATGTTAAATCAAACAAACAGAAAACGCACACCGAAATTCTGTAGAGATGCAAATGCAAGGACAAAAATGTACGATTAATTTGTGATTAATCACGAGCTAACGATGACATTCATGAGATTAATCGCAATTAAATATTTTAATAGATTAACAGTGCTAGTAATTTCACAAATTTTAAGTCATTTTCTGATAGATTTAAGTGTTTATATTTTATATTTTGGCCAAACTTTTTGCAGTATTGGATAATTTTAACTCTGGAATTGACAATGACTGAACTAAAGGTAAAAGGAGCTGTTCACTTGAAAAACTTAAACCAAACTTTTATCATTCATCTGCAGTGGATTAACTTTCTGATTCTGTAGTTTGGTTTGGTTTTAGTAAAAGCCAAATTTTCTTCATAAATTTTCAGTCTGGGGTTGAGTCTGGATCAGTTCAGTCAGTTCTCGTTCACCGGAAGACGTTTGGAAACATGCGGCTGTCGACTTCCGTTACAGCTCCTGCCACCGGCCGCGCACTGATCTACGATAAAAACCTTTACTTTTATTATATTTGATTATAGTTTATATTTTATTACAGTTCTACGTGAGATATACGATGTGATAAAACTGCTGACTCTTCACAACCTGACAAAAGTTTCCCAGGAGGACGTGACTCTGATCTGGTTTTCAGCGTCACTTACGGGAACAGGCTGGAATTTACTCGATTTTATATCCCCCCAATTAAGGCCAAGGATAAAGATTAAGATTAAAGGTCCATTGTTACTTTGTTTTGCTCATGGGCCTGACCGGAGTTGAACCTGGAACCCTGTTGTTGTGAGACGTGAGCTTCATTATTTTTCTGACAAACTCATTTATCTGTTTTCTTTTAGTTTTTCGGTTTGTTTCGTCTGATCGGAGCGAAGATTACGATTCTGGAACCTTCATTTTTCAAGAATTTCTAAGATTTTTTCACTTAATGTTCCAGAGAAACGTTGACATAATTAAGTTTGTACTTCTAGAGACAAACGTAATTATTCTATTTGGACAAAATAACTTGATTAAATAAGTTTCTGCTCACTTACCGTTCTAATTATTCACCGCAGTGAGTTTAAAAATAGTCGCCCGTTGAAGTCGATGGGCCGAGCTCAACGGTTCGTGTCTCCAGTTTAGGTTTTAGCGGCGAGGTTCTTCCTTTGGTCCACTGAACATTCGCAGTCGAGCTCTTTTCTTGTTCGTCTCGTGTTTCATGTGATCGCTTTGACCAATCAGAGCGAGATGAACTCGAGAGGAACTGGAGCGAACAATTAAAAAGCTGTTTTTAAGACAAAAGACGGATATTGAGCTGAGAAAAAGTTCATGATTGATGGGCCTGTTTACACGATAATGGTTGAAGATAAAAACGACAAAATATTTTATTGGAAGTGCCTTTCGTTTAGACGGTGACGCCGTTTTTGGAGCTTAAAAACACAAAAATCCCCCAACGTTTCCGTCTGCACTGCCCAAGACGCAAAACTCTGGTCAGATGTGCTCAGGTCACGTACGAGTTTATGTCACAAACATACGGGACACAGAAACAAACATGTACACAATCTAATTCCACACACTTTTGCGTCACCGTGTGCAGCAGATTTCCTTCCGAAAACACTCGACTAAATGTGGAATAAAAAGTGAAGACGCGACGCCACTTTTGCGTCTCCTGTTCAGACCCTCATCATATAAATGTAGACTTAAAATCGGTTCAAATCGCCACAAAATCTGACATTTTTTAAAACTGTAGGTGCCCTGTCAGCCCCTGTCAGCCCCTGTCAGCCCCTGTCAGCCCCTGTCAGCCCCTGTCAGCTGAACACGAGTAGTTTGTGATTAGTTTACGCTCTGTGGGAAAAATCTTTTCTGGGCAGGAGAGATTTTGTAGTGAGTGTCTCTGCACCAACTCAGGACAAATACAAACAGCAACATCCTCCAGCTGCAAATTCGCTGACTGGACTAAAGTTTATTTTGGTCAAAAACTTTTCTCAGTTCATCCAAACTGCTTCTTCAGTTCTGGTCAGACTTTGGTGGACACTTCCTTATATCTGTCTGCAGGGAGGAGCTAACTACACTGAAACTACTCTGAAACTGACACACACACTTGTTTACAGTTTCTCTGAGTTACTTTGGCCTATTAAACATGTACAGAGTGTGGGGACATATTAACAGAATCATTCAGGTCCATAATGAAGCCTCCACACCTCTGGTCCTGACCTGACTCCACCTGTTGTTCTCTTGTTTGTTTTGTTTTAGGTTTGAGGATGAAGTTGTAAAAAGGAGATCGATAGTGTCTGAGTCAGTTTCTGTTCAAAGAAGAATTCTCTTTCTTAACAAAAACAGCCTCTTAAACTCCCCTCTCAAACCGTTTCTTTTCTCTGCTCAGATCTGCACCTGACTGTCCTCTGAGGAGTGACCCGAGGCTTCAGGTGCAGATGTACGTTAGACTGAGGTCCTGTGTTGCTCTCTCGTCTGTGTTTGGTGCTATGATAATGTTAAAAAAGTCTCCTCACTCAGGACAGATGAACAGGCCGAGCTACAAGC